GAAAAGGATAGAGAGGCGGGCAGTATGTTGCTGTTACTGCAAAGAAAGAGGGGGCAGAGGAAGATAGATGGACAGAATGGAGGGAGGGAGAGAGACAGAGATCTGGGGGAAAGGTCCTGAAGTTAACTTCCACTTCCAAGAAAAGGTCAGCGAATTTCTCCTCTCGCTGGAGAATATTCGGCAAAGTTTTGTCCCTATCCCCTGCCCACACAGACAGTAGAGAATTTTGCAAGTTTTGCTGTGCTCCAAAAAACTGCCTGATCGATCTCTTGCAGGATGGATGGACCTTTTCTTTCAAGAAGCTCAAGGCAGCTGACACCCTCCTCTTCTCCAGCTGATCCTCACCACAGCAACCCTGTGAGCTGGGCTAGGCTTAGAGACAGTGACTGCTCCAAACTCACCCAGGGAGCTTCATGGCCAAGCGAGGACTGGAGCTCAGGTCTCCCCCCGCCTCAGTCTGCCGCTCTTAAGCACTGCACCCTGCTGGCTTTCTAGATCCAAGGCCAGCTAATTCATAACTCCAAATGTGGGGGCAACGTTGGATGGAGAAGCTTCGAAAGCTCCAGAAGGCTGGACTGGAACCAAGGGGCTCCTTTTCAGGGAAGTAGCTGTCATGTTAGGAGACACGATCTAGCAAGACGTTCAACATTGAAATGCCTTCACTTGAGAGCTGGTGGGTTCTCCTTTTCTGGGGGTCTTTAAGCAGAGGGTCTTGGGGATGCTGCATTGTAGCTCATGCATTAAGCAGGGGTGGACTAGAAGCCCCCAAGATCCTCCTGTTGGAGGATCCCGTGGTCCCAGTAACTGGAGAAGCGTGCATTTTCCATCGGAACGCTCTTCCTTAGAACAGTGTGACTGATCAGTGGGCACGCGCTGTCGTGTTCTTGTGAATAGATGTGACATTAAAGATTGTCATTATTACTCATCGATCACCATTCGTTGCTGGGCTCCCCTCCTGGGGATGTAACCTCTGCTGCACTTGGAAATGATGGATGTGGCATTTCTGAGAGCAAGGAAATGTTAACATTTGAACATGCATAATGCGAGCTGGTGAGACATCTTCGTTCAGTGGTGGGAAATACAAACAGTGATTTAAACCTTTAGGGAAAGAAGCCACAAAGCACCTCATCATTTCACAGTCATTTCCAGGAGGTGATCCTTTAAACCTGTTCTTTCCATTTTCTTTAGCAATCCATGGACTCTCTTGGTTAGAGATCAAGTTCATCTGGGGCTATTTTAAGTCTTCAGCTTTATGATATCAGTTATTAAGCTTGGCCTGGATGCAGACCAATGCATCTAGATTTTGGTGGTACCTGAGGGCTGCTTGCTTTGTTTTGGAGGGAGGATCTGCTAGAAAGGCAGTGAGTAATTCATCTGGTATGCAGACCTTTCCAAAAAGCAAAGCAAAGCAAAGCAAAGCAAAGCAAAGCAAAGCAAAGCAAAGCAAAAACAAAACCTGGTAAACCTTTTAAAATATTTGAGGATATTTCCAGCTACTAATATATGGAACAGACTAATCTATCAACTGTACTTTCCCCAAATATTCATTTTATGAAAATAAACACCCATCTCGATTTTATTCCATCCTGTTCCTGAAGAAGACCTGGCAAGCGAAATTCACACCCATCTACACCAGGCATGTGGAATGTGGTCGGGAGCGTGAGGCAAAGCGGAAGAGGAAGAAGAATGCAGTGTGAGTGCCTATCAGTAGCAGAGCTATGGCAAGGTAGAGGAAAGAATGAAGGGACTGGGCCAAAGGATGTAGCAAACGTCCCGTGCAGAGCGGAGGGTCTGTAGCTCATTAGCGGAGCAAGTACTTTGCATGCTGAAGCTTCAAGTCCAGTTCATAGCATCTCCAGGAGGATTGGCAAAACTTCCCATCGGAAGCACGGGAGCACCAATGCCGGACGATGTCGGTGGCACCAAGCTAGATGGCCTAGCGGTGCAGTATAACTGATGCAATAGAATGCCGCTTGGAAATAGCAATGAATGCCACAAACCGCCTGCCCCACCAGCAACTCCATACGGGGAAGGGAAGATGCTGACTAGGTTCAATTAATCCGAGGATATGTGAGGAGGTAGAATTCCATTCCATCCTCCAAAGGCCCTGTGCTGCCTGCAGGTTACCAGCAGTGTTGCGTTCCATGAATCTCAGAGAAGGCTGCAACGCACAGGATTAAACGAGAAGAATTATGCATTTTTCTATTTATTTTATTTTATTTATCGGCCTCTTGGGACGGCTTACAATGTAGAATTAAAACAATAAAACAGTAACAAGTACAGTAAAATTATATAAAACCAAAAACAAAAAACAAAACGCGACTGTTAATGATAAAATTAATTTTTAAATAGCCATTCAATAAAAAGGTTTTAACCTCTTATATGGACTTGGTGCCAGGCACACCTCTCCAGGGAGCGCATTCCATAATCTGAGCGTCACCACAGAGAAGGCCCTGCTCCAAGTAGTTGTTCTTTTTATCTCCTTTAAGGAGGGCTCCCAGAGCAAAGCCTCTCCCACAGATCTTAAGGGGCATGAGGGCATGTAAGGGAAGAGGTGCGCCTTCTGGTATCCTGGTCCCAAGCCGTTCAGGGCTTGATAGGTTGAAACCAGCACCTTGAATTGGGCCTGGACATCAACTAGACCTCTTTATTCAAACGTCATTTTAACTGTTAATACTATTTATTTATTTTATTCTTCGGCCAGGGCGACTTATTTTATATTGTTAACTAGTTTATATTTTATTGTAATATATTTTAATTGATATCTTTGTGAGCCTCCCCGAGGCTTCGGCAAATGGGGCGGCATAGAAATTTTCTAAATAAATAAACAAACTGGGAGCCAGTGGAGCTGATAGAGGACCGGCGTTACTTGAGTATGCTATGGAGCCTTGTTAAGAGCGGTAGTAGAAATCTGAAACAGGGGTCAGACAGATTCGTGGAGGCTAGCATTATGAATGACTACTATTACATAGTATTGGCAGCCGTATTTCCCTGGAAATATACATGCAAAGATGTTCTTGAACTCATGCCCAGCTTGTGAGTTTTCCATGGACATCTAGTTGGCCACACCGGGAACACAAAGATGGACTAGGCAGAACTGTGGACCAGTCCAGCATGTCTGAAGGAATGCATGAGAACGTCAGTTTAATTCACACGCCATCCCGAAATGTCCCATCTGCACTTTCCTGTACTTGCAATCCCATGCCAAAAATGCATTATTTTTTAACCACCGTACTTTGAAGTGTACATTGAAAAAGCATTTCCACATTTCTGCCAGTAAGAAAATGGAGCACTTTTGAAAAATGAGCACTTTCCCCATTCCAACAGCCTTTCCCATTCAGACGCAGATTGTAAGCAAAAGCAGGAGACGGCAAAATGAAGCTTCAAAGTGGCATTTGGAGAATTTCATGAAGTTCAAGCCTTCTGGGTCCTCCTGTCCTTGCAGGTCTTATGATTTTGCTGCTGCTGCTGTTGTAGAAGAAATAACAGCAGCGACGGCAATAATAATAGCAACCACAGTAACAATAAAAACAATTTAATCCACAGAATGCAGAAACAGTGCAAGGCCACTCAGAATTCCAAAACTGGGGGTGAAATGCAGAATTTCTGATGCTCCTCCTGCATTTCTGGACATCCGACTCACAGATTCAGGACATAAACACCGTGCAGATCACAATCAGCGGTTTAAGGCAGGTTCTCCCGACTCTCGCCAGAGCTTTAACTGCGAGTTTGGCTCCATGCGCTGCTTTTGTATCAGATTCATCTGTAACATTAACTGTTTGGCATTCTGAGCAGCCATGCAAATGTGCATTTCAGAGTCTCTCTCTCTCTCTCTCTCTCTCTCTCTCTCTCTCTCTCTCTCTCTCTTTCTCTCTCTCTCCTTCTCCTTCTCCCTCTCTCTCCTTCAATTGCTATAAATATTTTATGAATTTCCATCCACTTACTTTAATGGGGGATTGTAAAAGCATTTAACCATATTACACCCTATCTCTGGGAGACTGCATTATTCCAACAGAACTGTTTTTATTAGAAGCAACTGCCAGAGTTGTTGTCGGCAGTTCTGTTTAAATATATATCTTGATGCCTCCGAACGGATGAAATCGAGTGGTGGCCAAGGAAAAACTAATTCGCCAGAGTCGCGGACTGATGTAAGGGGTTGGTTTCATTTGGCTGAGTTTCACTTCAGTGCCTGCATCGTCGTGGTTGCTCATTTTTTAAAGGACACTATGTTTTTTATAGACTAAACTTGAGTCTTTTGAAACCTGCATATCTGTCTCCTCTCACCCTGAATCAGATTTAAACGTGGAAGCATCTGACTGTCAAAAGTTTAGAAAACTGTGTAAGGCTTTTGGGCAGGGAAATACAGGTCATGGGTTGTACGGACTTCATTAAATCCATTCTTGGATCATCCAAAGAGAAGCCAGAAACCTGAGCTTCATGTCTTGTGAAGTTGGAACAACAAAGCACCCCTCTAATTCCGCCTACCGGTTGACTTCCTGGGATGCAGGGATGAGGGGTGAGATAACGAAGACAGCGGTAGACAATATGGTGCCCCTCCTCACCACATATGTGGGAACATGACTCCCCGAATCTCCAGCAAGCTGGTCCAATAATCAGGGAGGACATGAGGATACTTCCCCTTGTTCCAAAACACCCTGGAGACATCCCAGTGGACAATGGAAGGATGAAGGGATAGTGGGGAACCTTGTGTACCACTCTGAACTCTTTGTCTGAGGAGAGATCACAGCAAGGTAATCAATAGCACGTTGGGCTCTTGCGCATGGCACCTGGGAGGAGAAATGGTTGCAGGAACAAACGTAGCGTTTTGCCTTCACTGTGTTGCTTTCTTTCTGGTCTGGTTGCAATGCATCCAGCTGAGAAAAATTGAAATGTCTCAGCCACTGCTGACCTGGCTAGTAATTCCATGCACTCCTGAGGGTATCTTGCACACCAAAGGGGGAGATGCCCCCCAGTTTGAGAGACATGGTTCTAATTCCTACCTTCAGCCCATGCATGAGGAGCAAAGGTCTTCATTTCCCCTGAAGCAGTAACCACGAGGGTCAAAAGATAATGTATCCCACTGTGTGGCAGAGTTTCCTTTCCTCAGCAAGGAGGTAGATTCAGCGAATGATCAACTAGCTTGTTGGCTCGGTCCTGCTGCATCGCACCATAATTAGATGCAAGCACATCATTGGCCTCGTGGCAAGCAGCCCTGTGCTTATTGCAGTCCTCGGCAGAAATTCAAGAAGCGTATGTACATATATGGAACAAATCGTAGCTTGAGAGTGGACTAAGCCAGAGCTCAAGCAGGACTGGTTGGGAGCCAGGAGAGCTGCTTGTCAAGAACAAGGCAAACAGTAATCATCCCCAGATAAAAATACACACTCTACTGTATATAGAACATTGTTGGTCTCCTCCTATTTATAGTTGGTGATGCCAAGACACTTATTTTTAGCATGGAAGCAGTAGGTCCCTCAGCAGCATTTCAGCATTTGCTGCCCTTCTGTGCTCACCACCGTTCTGGCTGGGCTGCTTGCTCTGTGTCTGTATGGCTGAAGTTGTAGATGAGCAATTTGTTGGCCAGGTGAACTTCAAACCATGTTTGCCAGGTCCTAGAACCAAACTACCTGGGTCCTGGCCTTCTTGGAGGCCTGCTAGTTCTGCCTTTCAACCCCACTGGTAAAGGTTGAGTCTCTTCCCTTTGGCTTGCTGTGTGGAGGATCCTCAGCGGTGAAGCAGCTCAATCGCCATGTCCAAGTGTCAGCACATGAGTGAGTTAAGCACATGCGTGAATTAAGCACACGAGTGAGTTAAGCACACGAGTGAGTTAAGCACACGAGTGAGTTTAGCAACAAAGGAGGAGGCCAGGACACTAGATGCTTCCCTGCCTTCTACTACCAAGTAAATATAAAGAAACTACTATAAACACTGGTAAAGCAATTCCCCACCTGCTCCTAGTAAAAGGTTTTCAAAGTAAGCAAACATATTAACAGTTATGTTAATTATATGATGTTATAAAGGTAGAAAGTCAGCGGGGGGTATTGGGACTCTGCTGTGTATTATACTGAGTGTCACATGCATAATTATCCATTGTACAAACTGTATGTTCTTGTGCTCAGTGTATCATAGAAACATAGAAACAGAGCGAGTCAGAAGGAGCCTCCAGGGCCGTCTAGTCTGACCTCCGGCACCAGTCGGCTCCACTCACGACATGCCCACCATGTGCACGTCCAGCCTATCCTTGAACACCCTCACCGATGGGGCCTCAACGACCCCCCGTGGAAGCCCATTCCATGCCCTGGGGGTCCTAACTGTCAGGAAGTGCTTCCTGGCACCCAAATTGAACCTTGGCTCCCTGAGCTTGGCTCCATGGGAGCGTGTCCTGCCCTCCTCTGCAGGGGAGAACAGTCTCTGCTCACCTCTGTGTGACAAGCTCGCTTGAAGTCAAGGTTGCTGTCCTGGAAAGGCTAAAAGAGACAGAGAGGCTACTGGGATTTAGTTGCAGTGTGCTAGTTCCTGGAGTGTGAGGTTCTCAGGGATGGAAAATGTCATCCTGGGGAAGAGAGAACCAACCCCTCTGAATGGAGCCAGCCATTGGAAGAGGAGTCCATCGCCTCCCATCTTGCAGATGCCATATTGGGCTATTCCATCCTCAGTCACAGAGAGAGTGTTGACCACTGTGCCTGCCAGGCACGAAGGCTGTAACTATCAAGTGAAATCTAGAGAGATTTACCAGTAGTGCTGAGGTGGAATAACGGACATGGTCCATGTCAGTACTAATGATGTAGGGATATGTACTAATTTTGAATTTGGGGTATCCAGAAAATTGTAGACCTGCTGGTGTCATGCTTGCTCCAGGATTCTGAAAAAATAAAATGAGGAGGCATACAGAAAGAGACCATCTGCTGAAAAAGAGTCGACATGGCCGCCACAAAGATAAGTTATGTCTCAACAACCTTTTAAAATTCTTTAAGGGTGTGCATGAACATATGGATAGGGGTGATCTGGTAGACACTGTTTGCTTGGTTGTTGATAAAGTCTCCCACTGAGGACTTCCGAGAAAACGTAACAGTCATAGATTAAGAGAGAGGCTTTTTATGGATCAGTAATATGTTAAAGGGCAGGAAGCAGAGAGGGGGACAAAAGGGTACATTCTCCCAGTAGATGGATGTAAATAGTACAGTTCCATGTGATCAGAATTCGAACAAATGCTTTTCAACTTATTGATAAATGATCTACAATTAAGGTGAGCATTGAAGGGACCTTGAACATCAAAGTTTGTGATAACACCACATTGATCAGAGTAGTTAAATAAGTAAATTAATAAGACCTGGAAGGAACTCCCAAATACTCTCTCAAAATGGGGAGAATGTACATCAACATGGCAAATGCATGAGAGCTTGATAAAAGGATCCATCAAGTGGGGAGAGAGGGAGAGGGAGGGAGAGAGAGAGACTACCTACAAATATACAAGGAATATTTTTGGTGGTCTTCTAAGCCAGGCAATTATGGTACCCACAATACTGATGGCAATTTCCGGAAGTCAGTATCCCCTGAGAAGCATTCTAAACTGACCCGCCCAGGCCTTGGTCCTCTGCCATTCCCTTCTGTCCTTAGCATAAGCCAGGAGATCATTTGTGACAGGGGAATGGCTCCAAACGCCAATCCCAATCAGCCTCTCGAGATGGTTCCCTTTTTCTCAGGGAGGACTTTTACTGGTCTGTAATTTCTCATCCAAGACAGCAAACATTTCAGCTCCTGACAGTTTCCTGTCAACCGGGCAGCTGTGTGTCTTGTTTCTGGAATACTAAGCTATCCTGAGAGTCAAACAGTGTTTCTTCTACCTGATGTTCCGTGTCAAAATAACAAGGCTAGAATGGCAGGGAGAGGTGAAGGCCTCAATAATCCTTTCTCTAGACCTGCACAGAGGCTGTAGCTCACCTCTCCCGCACAAGCGAAGAGCTAAGCAGGAAATGAATGAAAACGTTGCCAGCCCATGCAACTCTGGTTAAAGGCAAATTGATTCCCTCCTTCTCGGATGGATTTGGAATAGACGGAAACATCTTGTCAGGGCTGGGCCATGGGCATCAGACTGAGGTGAGCCAGAAGTCACAAACCAGGTGCTGCAGAATCAGCTAGTAACTGAAGAGGAGGTCAAAGCCAATGGGCAAATCAGGAGGCAGGGTTGAGGAACAAGCCAGGGGAACAAAGAATGACCAGGGGGACGGGAACGTGCTGCAACGAAGAGTCTTGAAGCTACCGTGAGGTCCAGCAGCTCCTTTGCCTTCAGACCCCCATCGCCAGCCCCTGACAAACGGACTTCAGCTCCGAGTTCTCAGGCTGGTTCCCTGGTCTTGCAGCTGTTCTCGCTCCCGGCTGATGTCTTCCTCAGGCTCCTCAGCCTCTCACAGTGACATCTTCTGATGACTCTGCCTTAGGCAAAACTCCCAAGACAAACTCCTCCTGACAGCCTTTCCCAGATCTCTCTCTCTGCAGTTCCCAATTTTGGCTCCAGTCGCTCCTTCCAGCCACTCAGGTTTCACAGCAGTCACATCACCCCAACTCGGGGCCAATGGGCAACTTTGCAATGCTGTTTTTCTTCATTCAGATGGTACCAGTTTAGATCCCACCTTCCCATATAAAGAGGCAGAAGCCCACCTTCATTTCCCGATCACTGATACCAGTGCCTTTAATATTTCTTTTATTCGGTTCCATGCTGTCCATTAGCTAACCCCCCCTGGGCAGTCTGTAACAATACACAAAGACACAGATAATGAATATAATCAAGGATTTCATTCACTGGTTCAACTCTAAGTTGAAGGACAATTGAACAGCTAAAATATTTCCCATACAATGTCTTGGAAGCAACATTCGAAGGATAACCTCAGAGTTTGTTTCAAATATCTGAACAGATGCGGGTCGGGAAAGGGGCCCTATTATTTCTTTTTGGGTTTAATTTCTGCACTGCCCAGCAGCCCAAGCTCTCCAACTGGTGAACAACAATCAATCAAGACAAGATGGTATGAAAACAAACAGTAGCAACATTATAAAAGGGTATTAAACATGTAAAACCGTCTCGTTGCATCAGACTTCATTCTCCTTCCCAGTCCACATTGCAAGTCTTGGTGCTCTAGCTTTAATCTTCTTTTCAAAGATTTTAAATGATGTGACAAGTCCTGACCCGGGTCCGTGTTACAGCACTGATAGACCCTTTCAACGTGTCCAAATTGCCGAGAGACGGGAGAGGAGCGAAAGCTGGTATTTTCAAATCAGTCGAAATGGCTAGGGCTTTTCCTTTTGACTCCCCTGCAAGGGAGGCAATTCATGATCCAGAATCTCAAGGCAAATTGCTTTATTTATAGCTGCACACCACTTCTGAAAGAGAAATGGTGACAAACAGCAGGAAGGCCACCACTTCATTTAAAAATCACGGCCTGGCTCCAATTACTCATTCTCAGGATGTGACTCAGTTTTGAGAGTTGCATCTAATCAGTCGAAACAGAGCGAAAGGTAAGGCTGGGGGGACCTCTTAGCAGAGTGGTTGACTTTCTCTTCCAATGAAGGAGCATCTCTTCTAAATATCTTGTGAGCCGCCCCGAGGCTTCGGCGAATGGGGCGGCGTAGAAATTTTTTAAATAAATAAATATGCAGGGGTGGAGAGGAGAATCGTGTCCATGGGACTCTTGCCCAGCAGCTCTGATGGGCTTTGGGCCCCAGCACACACCTGACCGCACCTAGTTTTGGCACCCGTCCTGCTTGCAAATGCACATGAGAATATGTTAATGTGGGACTGGGGAGACACACACAAATGGACTGGAGGAACTGAACGCTTCAGCGTATGCTGAGAAGCACAAGGAGCTCTGGACCTCCAGGAGCAAAATGAGGGAGGGATCTTAGCAGCATTGGTTCAGAAGGAATGTCAGCAGCGGTTCCTCTGCAGGAAGGAAGAAGGCAATTCAGAACTTCCAGATGAATTCCATAGTGGAGACACATTCCCAGCTTCTCCGCTGCAACTGCTCTGAAGTCAAAGATGCTGTTTCTGCCTACGGGGAATCTCATCTGCCTTCTGCAGACCCTAAACCAGTCCTAGCCATGCCATTCTAGTTTGCCTCTCCAGGTAGCAAAGGATCCAAAAAGCTCCTCTCTTCTCTTTTTCCTAACCAGGAAA